TGTTCCAAAATATGTTTTGTGTGGTTTTGTTTACCTGCTTAAGCGGACAAAAGGAAGGCAACATAATTAATCTGATAAAATATCTAATGTATGGTGCCAGTGAATTGGGAAAGCAGATGTAATTGGTGCGTCTTGGAAGAATAAATGAAGAGAACTGCATTGGGATTTTGGAACTCTGCTATTAAACTGCTTTGCTTCATCAGTGCATCCAGACTTGTGTGACCCCTTTCTGTTATTTCAGTCATAATTCTATCCAGCCCTATTTCGCTACAGCAAACTTTACAAAGATTAACCAATTAGAAATACTAATAACAGAATTCCTACCTCATGTTAAAATAACAGTTTACAGTAACGGGAACACCTTTCACCGCTGAGGATTTCAGGATCCCAAAGTATACAGTACTGCAAACGAAATCTCCCTGCACTTCAGTAGAGCAGGAAGGGAAGAGCCACCTGGTGTTGAGGCACATTGCAGTGGACAAAGAACACTGGCTGAGGAAAACAAGCATCTATTCTTATTTTTAAGAACATATCACAAATCTTATTGTTCTCACAGAACAGGCAGGACCCTGGGCTTTTAAGGGCCCATCTGGGTGGGGGAGTATAATATATACTTCATGGAATCTAGTTTCACACCTGCTGAAATCTTCTGGCAAAAATTGCAAATTTGCATATGTTGTCATTGCATAAATGCCTTCCCATTTAAAGTTTAACTGTAATGAGTTTCAGGGGGTGGGGGGAGATATTTACACAAAAGTGATAGGAGTGCCTGGGAGGTATAATATACTCTTTAAAGCCCAATAATTAAATAAAAACTCTCCAGACTCTTTGCCATTTTTTGTTTGCATCATGAGAAGCAGTAAGAAAATGATGGATAGCAGTGTCCCCTTAGTGCTATTATCAATTAAACCCAAAATATGAAAGGGAAATGCAGGCATTCAACAAATTTAAAACGGTTGTGTTCTGGCTTAAATGGTAATAAAATCTTAATGCCGTACACTGGAAAATAAAGTATATTTTTTCTACTATGGAAGTGTTTGCTGTCTAAGATCAGGGACTAACCCGGTAGCCCCAACAAGCTCCCAAAACGTAGCCTCAAGAAATTTCCATAAGATGATTTCAGTAGTAAGGGGATTAAATGAAAAATCTGAGGCACGTGTCCATTGAAAAAATCAGAGAAAATATTCTTAGAATTAGGTCTTGTGAGAGAGGCTGGAGCAGCTGGTTTTGGATAATCTAAATTAGAGAAGTCAAAGAAGCAAATGATAATTTAGAAGCATTTTCATGCCAGAGCTATTTCTTAAAACACACGGATCACACCCTCATACTGAGCTGGAAGTCCGACATGAGAAAAACTGGTGGATTGCTTGAGTTTTCCTGAATGAAGGGCCAGAACTTATAGGAAAAAATGCTAGATTTGGCAGGTCTGTAGTTTATCTACCTCAGAAGGCAAATGCTAGATTTGGCAGGTCTGTAGTTTACCTCAGAAGGCGTGGTGGTGTGTAGAACTGTTGTTCTAACAGTCTAGGTATTTCAGCTCTGACTTAATTCTGCTGCTGCTGTTGGCACATGCAGATGTATGCCCAGTAGCTTGTATCTACATTTCCATATGAAGCAATGGAAAATCACATGACTGCAAGGCCCTGCATGATTTTGTCCTCCCCCGACATAACTAGTCTCGTTTCCTCCTTCTACCCTTCTTCCCCTTGCACTTTTCTTCCACTTTACTTTTTACCTCAATCTGCTTCATACCTTCTGGCTGAAAGAGCTTCCTTTCTGTCTGGATATATCTACAGTACAGAGTAGTCCACACTTGCAATTGTGTTCTTCCACAAGAAAATCGAAAGAACAGAGGGGTTTTCCTGGCATTGGTAATTCTCATTCTATAAGGAAGAAGTCTTTTTGCGAAGGAGCTCTTTTGGAAAAAGGCGTGTGTGGACGGGGAAGAGGGTGATCTTTTGGAAGAAGATGAAAGAGGAAAAAGTACAGATGCCCTGGTGGCTATTCCAGCCATAGCAATCACAGCTTACATGCCAGAACATCTATTCAAACTGGACACTCTTTTGAAAAAGCAGATCGCTTTTTCGATGCACTTTTGCAGTGTGAAAGCTCTCTTTAGGAAAAAGATTTTTCAGAAAATCTCTTCTAGAAAAGGTTCTTCTGAAAGAAGCCTGCAGTCTAGACGTAGCCATCTGTGACCTACCTTCTCTCTCTTTTCAAACCAACCTCCTCAGGAAACTCCCTATTCAAACTGGACACTCTTTTGAAAAAGCAGATCGCTTTTTCGATGCACTTTTGCAGTGTGAAAGCTCTCTTTAGGAAAAAGATTTTTCAGAAAATCTCTTCTAGAAAAGGTTCTTCTGAAAGAAGCCTGCAGTCTAGACGTAGCCATCTGTGACCTACCTTCTCTCTCTTTTCAAACCAACCTCCTCAGGAAACTCCTG